TTGAAGGGAAAATCAACGCAGCGATGAGATTATTAGATGCAAATAATGCCAGCGGTTTATTGAGTCTATCTGACAAGGTTATTGACGAATTGAAGATGAAAAATCCCCCTTCAGCACCAGCGGATCCTTCGACTCTCATGGCTGGAGAGATTCCTTTCATTGACCCTGTAATGTTTGAGAACATTGATGAAACAATTATTACTAAAGCTGCGTTACATACAAAAGGTGCAGCTGGTCCCTCTGGAATGAATGCTAATGGATGGCGGAGAATTCTAGTATCCAAAAGTTTTGGAAAGACGGGTGAAGAACTAAAAACAGCTTTAGCAAAATTCACACGCATACTGTGCACAAGAGATATCAACAAAGGCTCGATTGAAGCATTTGTTTCCTGTCGCTTGGTCCCTCTTGACAAGAATCCTGGAGCTCGACCAATCGGTATTGGAGAAGTATTGAGAAGGATCATTGGAAAATCAATTATCCGTGTCATTAAGCCTGATATACTCGAGAGTGGAGGATCGCTACAGTTATGCACTGGATTACCTTCAGGCTGCGAGGCTGCTGTACATGCAATGAAAGATATTTTTGAAGAGGAAGAAACTGATGGCCTGCTTCTAGTGGATGCATCAAATGCCTTTAATAGCTTAAATAGAGAGGCACTATTGCATAACATCAAATATATATGTCCTCCAATGGCTCAATATGTAAATCACTGCTATGGAAAACCATCTCGTCTCTTTATCACAGGAGGTAAAGAAATACCATCTGCCGAAGGAACGACCCAAGGCGATCCATTTGCTATGCCTGTTTATGCAATTGGAGTTATGCCACTTCTATCATTGATAAAATCAGCTGAAAGCAAGGTAAAGCAAGGTAAAGCATGCAGCTTATGCAGATGATCTTGGTGGTGCAGGGACGTTACTTCACTTAAGATCTTGGTGGGAAAATGTTCTGCACTATGGTCCTTTGATTGGTTATCATCCCAATGCATCAAAATCATGGTTGGTAGTGAAAGAAGAGAACTATGAGCAAGCTTGCAAGATCTTTGGCAACACTCAGATCAATATCACAACATCAGGACGAAAATACTTGGGTTCATATATAGGGACGGCCAATGATAAATCAGAATATGCAAACAAAGTAGTGAATGGCTGGATTGAAGAGTTAAAAGTACTATGTAGAATAGCACGCTCAGAGCCGCATGCAGCATAAACTTGTTTTGTTAGTGGATTTCGTCATAGAATAACTTATTTAACTAGAGTCATCCCTGATTTTTGCAAAGCAATTAAACTGCTCGATGCTTACATAAATGAACAGTTTTTACCGGTGCTAACTGAAGGCTATCACTGCTCCGAAATTGAGCGAAAACTAATCAGTCTTCCGGTACGTCTTGGAGGACTTGGTATACCAATAATTTCTGAGATAGCTCATCAAGAATATGCTTTTTCAAAGAGAGTGACCAGTCAGTTATCAATAAATATCAAGCAACAAGCAACTGAATTAAGGCTTAACAACAATGAAATGAAGAAAACGAAGATTGAAATTGCCCATGAAAGAACAAAATCGCATGAGGAGAAACTTGCACTGCTAAGAGAATCTATGGCACTCGATCAACGCAAAGCAAACGAGCTGTCTTGTATGAAAGGTGCGTCTTCATGGCTCACTTCTCTTCCTTTGAAGGCTGAAAATTTTGTTCTCAACAAGCGTGAATTCCACGACGCAATCCGATTAAGATATAGATGGCATCTAAAGTTCATGCCAACTATTTGTGTATGCGGAAAACACTTTTCCGTTGACCATGCGATGTCTTGTCAAAAAGGTGGATACATTCATCATCGACACAATGAAGTACGTGATCTACTCGGCAAGTTAGCAACAGAAATTTCAAATGATGTTAGAATGGAGCCACCTCTACAACATCTCAGTGGTGAAAATCTCCCAAGAAATTCCAACATATCAGAAGAGGCAAGACTTGACCTCAGCATACGTGGCTTCTGGCAGAAGGAACAAAGTGCATTTTTTGATGTAAGGGTATTCAACCCATTCGCACCGTCGTACAGAAACCAGAAACTAAACAACACTTTTGCAGGGAATGAAAGAGAGAAGAAACGCGCGTACAGTCAAAGAGTTTTACAAGTTGAGCATGGTTGTTTACGCCATTGATTTTCGCTCACAGTGGTGGTTCAAGTAGAGAAACTGAAAGGTTAATATCGGTTTTATCAACGAAGATATCAGAGAAACGTGATCTGTCAATTTCACTGGTTACCAATTGGATTCGTACCAAGCTGTCATTTGCACTACTTCGAAATGCCATACTGTGCATACGCGGTTCCAGAAATAGGCAAACAAAAGTTCAAGTGGACACAGCCAACATAGAAATTGTAGAAACAATATCCCGGATTGATTAGTTAAAATTGTTGGGAAAAAAAATAAGATTCAAGTTTTTCAAGTTTTGTTCTAAACATGTGTGAACCGGCGGCCTTTCGGTATATAAACAGCGCCAAATGTTGAATCATTGATGAGAATTTATTTGTTCAAAAAAAAGTCAATTTAATAATCAATGTAACTAACACTAACAAAAATTTCTATAGATAAGAAGATCATTGGATTCCTCGGGCTCTCCTGGTCGTTTTTACGCGAGAGGCACTGATTTAGCTTCCTTGACTGTCATGATCTCTCGTTTCTGACAATTTTATCCAAAATTCATTGAAGATGGTCAGACAAAAAAAATAGACTGAGCACATCCAATAGAACCGGCGAAACCAGGGGTGCGGCGGACATGCCCCCTACTTTTCTGCAGAGCAAAATAAAACTGCTTGGGCAAAAGTGGAAAGAAATGTGGTCTACAATTCTCCATGAAGCTTTGCCTACTGTTTCCTTAAAATTGATCTTAGCTTTAGCTTGGTTACTATTTCTTTACCATGAAAGACATAGGGAAAATTAAAAGTAGGAATTTTATCGAATAAATCGGTCATTGTCCAAGGTAAACGTAAAATGAGTAACGACTTGGCTAAGGGAATAGATCGAGAAACCAGATCCAGAATAACTGAGTGCCAGTTAATCTATCTTTGCTTTGTTTTATCATACCTCTGAACTCGAATCTAGAATCTACGAATAAATAACTTTGAATATGCTCCATCCGAAAAGTGAGCCTGTACTATAAAGATAATTTGATGTACTTAATATTATTGTAAATATTGATTGATTTAGAATATATGTGTCTACAAATCTTATCACTTTTAAATGTTTATTGAGTAAGTCTTCAGACTTTGGTGCAGGGTTTTATACCCTGCTTTGAAGGAAAGTTTAAAAATCTACAACACTAGGTATAAGTTCAAACCACTAAAATCATCAAAATTTAGCATAGATTTTAAGCTGCTGCTTCGAGTCTCATTCTTAATGCTTACAAGCAACAATAATTCTCACAAAAGTTGATACTATCAAAATAACTATACTACAAACAGCTTTGTAGAGGCAATTAAGCTGTGTCTCTTTATCAATACCAACAATAATGTTTTCACAACTTCATAACCAAGAAAAATATTTTGCGATATGGCCTTTGGTCATGCGTTTCTGCGATGCTATAAAAGTGAACAGCCATTCTAATATATAAAATAAAGAAATTTTTACCATTCATAAAGCTTTCATAGAATCTTAAAACCATGCTTATTCCACCAGCATAATGAGAATTGATAATATTTTATTTATTGCTGAACTAGCAATTAAACAATACAAAAAAGGTTTCGAAACATTCTCACTAAAAAGAGGTGCTGTCTCCTAGATTCTATTTCTTTCTGAGATCGACTCGCCTTAAAGACATTGAGTCATGATAAATAGACTGGGTATACCCTAAGTGCCAAAATCCGCTGAGTCATGATTTCCATGACTGCGATGCTATTGGTTGACCTTGAACTGGTCACATGACCTCACCTCGTACTGATTAACATAACAGTTTCCATCAATAGCAAGTTGTCAACAACGGATGCCAATATCACATGAAACAGCAGCGATCACGCCGAAACCAAATGACCCCCTATAGAGAAAGCCTATTTACCATGACTCAATGCCTTTAAGAAACTCCCTTTCATGCAATTTTTGTATTGTACAATTTAGTTGTTTCCTGTTATACTTGGTCATTGGTTTCTGTTATTTTCTCAACGTAGTTCTAAACCAAAGTGCATGTATTTAAAGTTATGATACAGTATCTGAACTTAATTTCGATTCTTTCTTAATTCCTGGTTCTAAAGTTGACGCAATGCTTTAAAACCTTGGCGATCTCGCAATGTGAATCTGCTTTCTTTACCAGGGAGCAAAGTTCAAAGAATTCCTCCAAGGAAAGTCCAAAAATGAGTTATCAAGAGACGCAGACTTATGAAGCTGATTTTGCAACCCGTGTGTGAACGAGCATCCTTTCAACAGTAAACAGAACGCTTTTCATAGTTGCTTTTTTTGTATGTTGTTATCGCTACCAAAATATAGCGTTGGTACTGTAACTTTGGCTTAATTAAGCTGTTAAAATATAATGCTTTACTTCCAATTCTTTATCTTTGTCCATTTTTTACTTTTATCCACACGCCACAGCTTGTTGCAAGTATGTAAATGAATGATTGAATCAATTGAATAAACATTTGATTGATCGAATAAGATATCAATTAGTCAATTTGTGAGTATCTTGATTGATGAATTGATCAATTTTATAAGTTAATGAAGGGAAAAAACTGTTATTGTCACCTTTAATTTTCACTTATCGCCATGGTTAACCATCTTCTCCATCATATGGCTTAACGAGGGGGCTAGTCCAGCAGCCATCAGATGAACTTTGACACCGAGTACATCTGGAATTTTTTCATATTATCTGCAAATTGAGTAAAAAGTGACAAAACTGTTTTTTGCCAGCTCGGAACCCTTGGGCAAATTATTTTATGGAGCCATTTTGACTTTACCTATTATCTTGACTGATAACAGGGATCAGTTCTCAATAGATCACGAAGTGAAGTTACATAGTATATCATTTGATTATCTGTTTAAAGCTGATTCGAAGAGTGCACCGAGGTTGATAAAAGCTAGTTCTCCTCAAGCTAGTTCATGCCTATTTGATGCCCCATTTTGACCACGCCCTTTACCCCCCCCCCATCCTAAAAAATAGTTGATTTTTCAATACTCATTCCAAAAAGTCATCTAGCGCATCAACTTCCCTTATCATGAATATGAATATGAGTCATGAATATGATTTTATGGTAATGTCAAATGGACGTAGTTTTGATTTAAAATTATTGTTAATCGTTAATCGCCGAAACTCTAAATTGTAAGAATGTTGCTGAATGCTGATTTTGAATTTGAAGTTAGCAGAAAAATTTGCCACCAACGATCGCGTTACAAACCGTATCGACAAGAATGTTTCTATCAACATATTGGGGCCTCACATCGGGGCCCCCTAAACAGATGAGCCAACTACCCCTTCCTCCAAATTTTTAAACCCTTCTTTTCTTTGACACACCCAGCCCAATCCATCTTCACTAACCTAATGCAGGTACCCAAAACACATACGAGTTGCCCAACACCCGTTCCCCTTCTCGCAATCCATTGCTCCCTTCCTTAAAAAGCCACGCCCAGTCACATGTATTGCCACCCAGTCAATTTAAATGCTCCTATATACAGATTAGACAATTCACACGTCCCTCTTCTTCAAACCCTTTTACTCCATAGCAAAAACAAAGCCAAAGGACATAAAACATGACCATGTTTCTTTCTATTAATTTTCCGTCGGTAGCAGGTGGGGCAAATGAAGCCATAAAAATTTTTCCCAACAGTTATAGGTTGGCAAAAAACGGATATTTGGTCTATCATACCCCATAATCAAGGTAATCTATAAAATTAAAGGTATTGCCGCAGGACTAGGAGTCAAGAGAGAGCGGACGCCCCCAAATGGCAAAAGAAAATCTTTATAAATACGTAAATTTCAAACTTTCCTAGGCTCAAGTCGCCTCCCCTCCTCCCTCCCCCCGACCAAATCGAAAATCTTTGTTTTTCATCATCATCATCATCATCATCATCATCATTCTCGGTCAAACTGTCATGAAGTTGTAGATTTCTCGAAAAAAAACACAACCCACTCTCCTTATTCTGCATATTTTTTCTAAAACTCTTAAACAAGGAACAACTAGTTTGCCTCTCAACCATCTACTGTTATTAAAAACCCTTTCATTTTAAAGAAAATTTCGTTTTATTTTTCATTTTCATTTACCATTTTAAAATTACTTACTCAGGGTAAAAATTCAGTCTGAATACTGTTTTACAATTGGCCCTGGAAAAACTACTTACAAAATTAATAAGTTATATACTATAAATTTTTAATAAAAAGAGCGGAATATGGCTAATTCAAAGATGAATAAATTTACAGCAATGCAACTCAATATATAGAAAAATACTATTTTTTCTTGAGTTTGGACTTGAAGGCATCGATTGAGGGAGCCATTTTTGCGACTGGCCCCACGATGCACAATGGATTTCTGGCCATTGCAGTTCACACAATAAATTTCAGCCCACACAAAGAATTTGCAAAAATTAATGCTCTAATTATTTAAGTGTCTATCAGAAGAAAACCCACCATTCATGTGGAAATTCTTCGAAAAAAAACTAAAAATATGAATTACGAACAAAAATTTATTGCAAATACCGCATATAAAAACAAATAAATTTGGAGCTAATTCTCTTATATCTAGAGATGCTCTCCTTTGGAACATGCTACCCGATGCCATAAAAATTGCTAGCTCGACCTGCAATATTTAAAAGAAAGATCAGACAATGGAATTGGGACAAATGTAACTGTCAAATATGCAAATAACCAAAATGTGGGTATGACGAGATCCTAAAAAAGTTGATTAAAAAAATTTTTTTTACTATTTCTCTCTTCTGATTATATTTTAATTTTGTAATTTTGTAGAAATGCAAATAGTTGGTATGAATTAGCTTTTTAAGCTATGTATGGCACCAACTGTAAATAATTTTATAATAATAATGATAATAATAATAATAATACTAATTTTCAACATGGGTATTGTAAGGTCTGTTTTAAAGTTTCTTTACTCTCTTGGATGTACCCCGGATAATCTCACGAATAGGTCAGTGAGATATTTAGATGCAAGAGAGTTAAGAGATTTATAAACGATAGAACCTCTTTTTTTTAAGTATCAGCTTTTGTACAGATAACCAACCAAGTCTCTGGAGCAAAGGACCTGCAGATGCATCAAAAGGGCTATTTGTTACTTTTCCGGCGGCTTTATTCTGTAATTTTTGAAGCATTTCTAGCTTTGAAGCACCATAAGAGCCCCAGATGGAGCAACAGTAGCTGAAATGTGGCTCTATGACGCTTCTATATAAATTTATCAAAGTGCCAGTTAAAACAAAATTTCGCGCATTCTTCAATAGACAAATTGCTCTAGAGGTCTTCTTTTGTAGTGCACTAATGCGTCTTTCCCAGGTACGGTACTTATCAACCACGACTCCGAGGTATTTTTTTTCGTTTGTTAGGTTGATTTCCTCGCCCCCTACCCTAAAAGCTAAGATTATTCCTTAGCTTTTGATAAGGTTGTGCTACGATTATTCCTTAGCTTTTCAATTTTTGGCTTAGAACCAATTATCATTGCTTGGTTTTTGACAACATTAAGGGAAAGCTTATTGCCCCGTAGCCATTTTTCAATGTATGGAAGCTCCTCGTTGATTACTAGGTCCAGTTCATCACTTGTATCAGAAGAATACGAGATTGCTGTGTCGTCGGCATACATTGTAGCCTTAGCCTCCTTAAGAGCAAATAGCAAGTCATTTATGTATAGAAGAAAAAGGAGAGGGCCTAGGCACGATCCCTGTAGCACTCTAATAACAATATTTTCGATGCTAGAAGTTGTGCCATTGACTTACAGTACTGCTTCCCATTATCAAGATAAGAACTGAACCATTTGTGTGCATGTCCAGTAATTCCATAAAAATGCATTTTATCTAAGAGTATTTGATGATCAACCTTGTCAAATGCTTTCTTGAGATCTATGAAGATCATCGCAGTATACCTCCCGTTCAGTGGCGTAGCGTGAGCGCAGAACTTAGGCATGCGGTAACATAAAATATACGGCTATGTTGAATGAATGTAATCGTATTTTCAGCTTCTTAAAAATACAAACGGTAATTAATGATAATCGTGATAATAAATTTTGATTTTAAAGTAACAAATCATTTGTACTCTAATTCTAATCAATCAAGGTGTCTATTCTTTGCATCAGAGGCTCCGATAGAGGTTGGAAAGTGAAGGGGGGCCAAGGGAAAAATTATCAGCCATGCGAAAGTTTTTGAAAAAAGCTCAATTGTTTTAGCAAGAATTTTCAGAATTACTCCTAGTGCTAAAACTGCTTCGCAAAAGATTTTATTCTTATTCATATTCCTCAAGAAAAGGCATCACCTAATGCCCACCTAATGTAAGAATATTTTGATGAAGCTGGGGATTCCCGCAGGGAGGAGCTCTCCACATTGCGAAATTGTTAACACACTGCAGAGCCTAAGCGAACAGGAGCAACAGTTTCTGCTCATTTTTTACTCTCATAGTAAACGAAGATGAAAATAGTGAGCTGTGAGAGTTGTAAGAATTGAAGATGCTTCCATGTGTAAAGTTTCAGAAAGTTAGTCCCGGCAAATCATCATGTATTTAGCAAGGCTTGCGCTCAGGTGTACCGCATGCCCTGGTCCGTAAATTCTGACTATACTGGCAAGCCTTTTGACTTGAATTACGGAATGCGGATCATGACAAATAGACTCTGACCCCACTTTGACGAAACCTTTTCTCTTTTCAACAGTCACAAAGTAAAGAAAGGGAAATAATTGGATTTGAAATGATGTATCTCGCAAAGAATATTCGCAAAAAGCAGCTTATAGGTAGAAAATGTTGTGGATTATCAAATATTTGGGAAGGCTTGCGCTCAGGCCGACCGCAAGCTCCAGTCCGGAAAATTCTCACTTCTCTCAGAAGCTTTTCTCGAGTTGCACTGAAGCTGTACTGGAGCATCACATGTTTCTCTTATTTTAGACAGGCAAAAAGAGTGATGTGGAGGGGCTTCAGTTTTTCAGATTTTTCGAATTTCATAATTTTTAGCGATCTGTTTACTTGGAAAAATAGCCAATTGGGGCCAATTGGCCTGTTGGCGCTAGAGTTCACCGCATGCTGCTCATGACAAGAAAGAGAAGCCGTTTATTGCAGAAATTGTTATGCATTGAAAGTGTTGCAAGAATTTTAGAATTTGTCTATAAATTTTTACGCTTGCGCCGCAAGCGTAGCATACATAGACGCTAAGCCACTGCTCCCGTTGTCTATGTTGATGAATCAATCAATAGTTCTGTTTAGCAGACATGTCACAACTGAATGAAGAGAACGAAATCCTGACTGATTAGACACTAGATATTTGTGCTTATTTAGGTACTGGTATAACTGACCATATATAAGTTTTTCGAAGAGCCTTGACACGACTTGTAGAGCAAAAATAGGTCTGTAATTAGATCGGTCATCAGGCTTGTCTCCTTTGAAAAAATGGGGTCACGCGGGCTATTTTCCAACTATCTGGGAACAATAGATATATGGAAAAGTTGAAAATATCTCAGATGGAATTACAAATAACGGGAAATGTAATTTTAAGGAAATTACTCGCAATGCCACCAGATCCAAACCCGAGAGATTTTTTCATTTTATCCAGAGCTCTATTTATAGTATTTTCATCTACAGGATGAAAATTAAATTCAGTCGGTTGCTCAGTTGATTCTTTTATTTTGTACTTTCCAGACAAAGTGGGTTGGGCTGCTGTGGTATCTTAACACCAAGGTTTCTTCCCACACTACAGAAAAATTCGTTCATAGACCTAGCGATATCTAAATTCTCAGTAATGAACTCCCCATCAACAATAAGGGTCTTTTATTTAGCAAAAGATTGAGCATTTTCCAAGTTTCTGTTAGATTTCCCTTTTCAAGGGCAATCTTTTTGGAAAAGTATTTCCGTTTCAGATGTTTGTTGAGATTAATGACTCCGTTACGCACGTATCGATATGAGGCCATTAAAATTGACGAGTTTTTCTTGATGGCCATGATCTAAAGCTTATCCCTTATACGAGCAAGGGCTTTGAACTCTTTAGGCCCTAGACGCACTGATTTTTGACATAAAACTCATTAACTTTGTCGCAGTGGAAATCGAGAATCCTTTTAAAGTTTGACAAAGAAAATCCGATTTTCGCTTGGAATTTCGAGCGCGCTGCAGTTCGTGTGTGGAGTGGTTGTTTGCTGTTAGGCATAATGTAATGTGGTTTAAAACAAAGGACGGTTTTGTGTGGCACCAGAAATATGCGTTAATTGTTGATCATTTCCGTTTTCCAGAGCTCGTCCTGCTCTTGGGCAGGGAACCTTTGAGGGATTAGTGAATTTGGTTCAGTGGCAATTTGGTTAGCCCTCGGGGGTAAACTAAGCCTAATTTTTGACGGGGACGTGCCATTTTGGTCAAAAATTTGGACCCATAATTCCGCAAATGTTTGAAAAATGTGACCCATAATTCCGCAAACATGATGAAAACTATACCCATAATTCCGCAAAGCAAATAAAATTTCTAAAGCACATAAAAATAATTACACAAATTTTGCATGTTACACAAATTTCATAGTTTTTTTTCTAACTGGTCATTAATTTTGTTAATGCTAAATATCCCTCCTAATAATTTTGCCATATTTTCCCAAAATGGTACCCCTAATTCTGCATGTGGGTTTGATCTTCATCTGTAAGAGGATGTGCCATTATTTAGGGGTACTTTTATCTTCAGAAAAAAGTACCCCTAAATAATGGCGCATCTCCGTACCTTCAAACACTTTAAGATACCTCCCCCCGACCTTTCTGCAATACCATGTATATGATGGTCAAAGGTGTCACTTTGCTTTTACTTAGGTACTTTTTACCCTGGGTACCATACTAAGAGAGTGAGACTCACTCTTATTTTATATAAAGTGAGTCTGGTTCCTAGTGTAGATACTTTTTAGATTATATTAAAGAAAGATTATTTGCATTCGTCATTACCCCGTCTTCAACAACTTCTTAGAATCAAAAGCTAATAAACAACAGTAAATGCTGCTACTAGTGCATAATTGAATGAAGAACCAGGGGCAGATTCAGGGTGTCGCACAGGTCGCACGGAAGACCGTCAGATTTTCAGAATTTGGTTTTAGTCTTCAGTCATTGAAATGAGGCAATCATGTTTACCACAATCTTTTATTTTCCTCCTTAAAGATAATACATTTTGCTCTCTTTACACAATAAACACAGGACCGAACTTGGTCGATCTCCCAGACAAAGCTACGATTTAATTCAACATAGAAAAAATTCCAATACCATCCTAGACCGTAAGCAGTATGATTTTTAAGCATGTCGCCCGTGCCGCACAAATATGCAGGGCTCTTTGTTATGCAAATATTTTACTAAATCTCACCAATCAAAATTCAAGTTTTCACATATTTGTGTTGTAAGTTGTGAAAGGGAAGAATCCCAATTCTTTTTTTCCATGCGGAAGGGGTGCACAGGAAGTGTACCATTCTGAATCCAGGGGTGGCGCTAGAGACAAACCTTCAAGGTGCCGAAGTTTACATTCTCCGTAACTGCCGACGCTGAATGTGTCAAATTGCCGACAGGCAGGGCCGTCGCGAGGCAAGCCTCGTTTGGGGTGGGGTGTGTAATGCAAATTTACCTGATTAAAAAATTATTGCCTGAAACTTTTTAGCTGGTGTCACAAACCTCTGCAATACATTTTGTCAATCTAACTCTGTATGATAATAACCGACTTTCCTAATAGTCTTGTCAAATCTCTATATCGGGACGGGCAAAATCTATAGCTACTACCTGAGGCGGCACCATGGTTGCCGCCGAAGGGACAGGAAATTTTTCGATTTGTGATGCTTCTAGTTTCCTGGAAAATGCACTCTTTTAAGCAGATTTCACTAAAGCAATCCTCCTAACCCTATTGAAAATTATTGTCCTTTTGCAAAACTTTTTTACAGCAGTTAAAAACAACAACTTTGCCGTGGTCTTGAAAAATACCAGGTTGTCAGTTGCTTCTAAATTTAGATCCCTCTTTCCATCTTAGCATGCCTTTTGAATGTTAAGGAAAATATGGAGCTCATAGTGAATTGCAGCTGACGCTTCTACTGAGAAACTTTAGGAAAAATGGACACAAGGCACAATTTTACCTAAGACACTGAATATTTCTTCCTATCTATGGTGGAAGAAGTTAATCGATGGTTTTCTCTAAACCATTTGTTTGTCGCAAGCTATGCGGTGAACAATGCTATTGAAAAATAGTTGATGAAAAAGGACAAGAAATGCTTTTTGAAAAATTTATTACGCAAAATGTGCTCATGATCGAAATGTTTTCATTGGCAATAATAATGTCTTGAAACGAAAAGAGAATCCCTAAAATTCATTAAAGACTTTATTTGTGACAGCGTGATTTTGCTGTTGTTAGGGTAAATTTCCTTGAAACGGTCCAAAACATGATCTAAATCAAGCATCTCTGCACGATTCGCATGAATTCCAAGCAGCAACAGGGATTTCAACTGAGAGGGGCACCATGGTATTGTGGGTCATGCGAGGGAGCACCATGAAATTAAGTCACAGCTTTCACGGAAGCGACAGGATATAATGCCACTATGATAATAAAATTGCCGAAGAAAAGCCATTGAGAAAACCATAAACCGCCAGTGCAGTTTTCTCCTCGATTATTTATGTCATTCAAAAACATGTAAACCGGGTGACATCCATCAAGTGCCGACGGTATTGAGAAAGCAAAAATTGATTGGCTGCCGACGGGGGGGCTAACAAAAATCTAGGGGGGGCTAAAGCCCCCCCTTGCCCCCCCATGCCGCCACTCCTGTCTGAATCTCAAGATATTTTGTCTCAACTGCGTGTTTGGATTTGCAGGTAAATTTGGAAAACCTTTTAAAAAGGGAAAAATGTTTGACTGAACAATTTGAAGGTTTCAGGGCCCCAGTCCTAATTGCTCTGGTTCTGGGGGGGGGGGGCTCTGCCCTTGATCATGAGGGAGGCCCCCTAGACCGCCTGCTGGGCAGTGTTAATGTGCGACCGTCAACTTTTATTCTGTATCCGCCCCTGTGAACAACAAATAACAAAAGTGTATTTGAGAAAATGACATCAATCTCTATGACATTAACATTTTCCAATGCGAATACAAATGTGTTCACTGTTAGTACGCTTCAAAATCAGAGCCTCTTTTTAGCAAATGCTTGCAATTGTTCTGCTTTGTCTGGATTACATTTTTCATTTGCGTAAGCACTGCTTTGACTTTTAACGTCGTACACGATAGCAGCTTTGCGGCGTTCATCGGCCATTTTCACAGCAACCTTCAAATCATTCCCAGCAGGTCTAATGTCGTAGTCTTGGTAATCTTGCAGATTGTCTCTCACCGGATCTACCCTATCGAATTCAATACTTGGCAGATCCTTGAATGCCACGACGTAAAAATCAGCCATATTTTTCTCTGGAAGATAAAAAATTGTTACAAAATAGTTATATATCCTGAAATAGCATAAAGTCAAAATTAGATTACGTCAATCATATAAATTTCGATTGTTTGCATACTTTTTGCGATTAAAAAATTAATGATTATGTTTGTATTTCAATTGAAATAGCGTTATAAGCTGGAAACTATCATCTCGTTAGAAACTGGAAAGTCAAAAAGCTGACAATAGAAGTGAAAACAGAGAATATTTGCAACTGTTTGCATTGCAGATGCTCCAAAAAAATTACAGTAGAACTTTTTATCAGCAAATTTAAACATTGCAATGGTAGCACCTTGTTTGCCTTCAGAGCAATCTTTAAGAAATTTTCACTGCTTAGGAAAATTTGTTAAAAGGGCTCAAAGAGAAATAACCGAAGGAAGAACGAGGATCTACGCTGGGGCGAGGCTTTTATTTGGAACCATGGAAATAGACAAGCATAACTAGGGAAAAAATCAAGGCTTCGTTTACACGATGCCGGATAACTTTTGATCCTGATAAGGAGTTACCAAGAAGCACACAAAACATACGAAAACAAAGAGGATCTCTTATTAAAATGTTTAATGGACTTTAAAACATTCCAACGAAACATATGTCCTTTGAATTAAGAGCTTAATGTTCATAGATTTGAAAAAAGCAAACATTTAGTAAACTAAAGCTTTTCGTCTGACACTCTTCAGAGTTTAAAACGTCAGAACATAGATCGAAAATCATGATCATAAAGCTTAATGTTCATAGGTTTGGACAAATCCGACATTTTCTTATGCGTTGATTGCTTTTGTTGAAACACGTTTGAGATAGGCAGCCTCATATGAATAGCAAACATACCAAAACAATGCAGGTAAATTGTGTCTTAAGCCTATAATACATCACCCTTTTATAGCTAGATTACTTTAGGTGATAAATTTTTATAGCTTTATTGCCAGGAAGAGCAAAAATGCAAAAAACAGGGGACTTAGATACTGCTATCTATCATCATAAAATCCAATTTGATACAAATCTAAGGACGACGAATCATGAGGACTACGGAAAGGAGCACAGCCCCTAGTTCGTTCTCTCCATGATTGACTTTTTAATTCATCACTACCCGACAGGAAGACACTATAGGAAAAAATTACATTTCATCAAAATTTTTAGTGATGTGGTTCTAGGCTTTCAAAGCTTTTGTGTGTCACACATCTTGCTTTTGTTGCTGCAACAGGGCCAAAAATATAAAATACTCTCTATATTTGGTTGTTGCACTAATAATTATGATTTCATAGAAATGGAAAGCAGACTCATCTATTTATTGGATATTTTGGTTTAACTGTAATTCCTTTTAAATGTAATTCTGTGAATTTATAGTGTAATTAAGTGCAAACAATACATTGGATGGTTACGAGCTTCGGGAATAAAGTAAGTGTGAAGTCACCAAAAACCTATTTTTAGAATTTTCGAATTTTAGCCAGCTAAACTAAAAGATCACCATGAAATACTTGCAAATTTGCAAAAATATTCAAATATGTCTAAATTCAATTGAGATTATGCCAATAAAAGATTTGAAGCTTGCTAACAAATCACTTTTATTTTGACTCTGTTCATCAAGTTATGAACAGAGACACAAATACAGAGGTTTGATGGGGAAGAGCCTGTGCTTGACTGATTTTGCACATCTGGAGGAATTTCATGATGCTCTTTCATGTTATGGGGTCCAAATTCAAAATCTCTTTAGAACTCTATTCCCTACGATGTTTTGATTCATCGGTAAGTAATACAAAGCAATGAAATTATTTTTCGACACTTCAACAAATAAATTTGAAACTAGCTTTTAGAATTACTTGCTATTTTCCTAAACGCTGTCTTAGAAAAACAACGAAAATAAACCAAATGAATTTGTGGCGGCGCCTAAGGGGGTACAAAAGGCGTAATCACATCCCCCCACTTTTGTCAAAACATGGTCCACATGTTGCTTCTAGAAATTCATTAAAAAGCACTTAGTAGAGGTAGATTATATTCTTGCCTCAGGGAAATTTAGCCTGGCACAAAGCTTTGAAACGAGGCGAAAAGGGTGTTGTCTCAATGGCCATGCCCAATACCCTTCCACTCTGCAGAAGCTGGCGCTGCTACTGGCTGCATCACAAGTAATAACTATTAACCTTTTTAATAAAAAACAAACAGAGTTGGGGAATGAGCAAATTGCTCTGCAAAAAGATCTGGTCAGTCTACATGGTATTTAATCTTCTATTGCAGCCAGTGGCTGAGCACCCAGTTGGGCCTAGGCCCCCGGCCCAAAATCCAAGCGGCCTTTTCAGTCAAAGGCTGCGTGATTGATGGAGACTTGTTGCAATCATATCGTTAGAGGCATACAGACGCTCCAATCAGGGGTGTAGTGCTAGGGAGCTTAGGAGGCCTAGGGGGACTGGGGGCCTGGGGGCCTAGGGGGCCTAGGGGGCCTAGGGGGCTGAGCAACCATTATTAATGCCAAAATATGACCAATTTCTAGTTTTGTTATTGTTTTTAGCAACATTATGTGCAAAAGCCTCGTTTGTTCTTTTGTTAGCACTACACCACTGGTTCTAGCCTAAAATTATTAATGAAATCGACAGTTCTTTAAAAAACCATTGAAATATTCGAATTTGGTCCATCTACAAAAAACATGTACCCAAAAGATTTGCAAAAAGTTCCTAACAAAAAAGCTCTTGCAAAAATTATTTCCTTAAAACGTGAAAAGCGAAAAAATTCGAAAAATGAAGTAAAACTTTATCCTTTTATCTATAATATTTTGAAGATAAAATCATTTCTTTATCTTCCTATATTGAATAGAATATTTTATAAAAAGTCTTCTTTCAATATAAATCAACTTCTTATAAAAGTTAAAAAACATCAGCTTTAAAGAGAATTGAGATCAGGGGCGTCACTTCATAGTTGTCTGCATTTTAGCTCTGTGAACAAAATTTGGCCTGCTTAAAGTTGAATAAGTCATAAAGAAAAATAGAAACGATGGAGTGTTTGATGCTATATTATTGTCAAAGGATGATACATTGTGTTGTATTTATTTTAAGACGTCATATTTTTGCTTTAACCACTTTTTAATAATTTACTTTAGACCACTGTCAGGTTGTGGTCCTCCAAGGGAAAAACTCTCATCATACCTTGATAATTTTGCTAGGCATATAGTAGAGTGTGCTTCGAGAATAAAAGACACAAATCACTTTTTTAGAAAACTTTTATATGCACACTATCATCAGATTGAACTCATGGTTGGTTGCAGGGACATTGGAAAGGGGGGGGGGCAGGGGATCAACTGCACCTTTTGCCTTTTGATAGGAGGGAAAGGGAGCCCAAGTGCCCTCTTCATGGAAGTTCCCTTAACACCAGCCATTTATGATTAAAAAATTTATATGAAATTCTGACTGAACTGTCTTATTTAAGACGACATTTCGCAAAACTTTCAAAGAAATTTCTTATGCCACAAGTTAGCCAATTTTCACTCATGTTCCAGTTTTGCCTCATGTTCCAGTTATTCGGACACACTGCTTTAACAACAAACTGGATTCTAGATTTATCTCGGCACAAAGCAATGTTGCGATGCCCGGTTGCTATTGAACCAATTTTTTTTAGTTTTCTGAGAAGCTTCTTTTCTTTTTTGCATGGCTTTGAAAAAAGACACAAATAACGACCATACTTAAATCTGCAGTGAAAGGAAATTAGAATCAAATTAGAAATCTACTCTTTCCAGATCAATCTATCACTGGCAATCACTTTTTCGTGTCACTGGCATGGCAGTCTTTCTCGTGCTACTTTTAGAACAAACAATTTCCAAGCATAAAATACTTTTTCGCTACAGTTTTATAAAAAGAACATCAAGTAAAATCCATTTAGAGAAAAATTTTGCCCTGCCAAAGTCAGTTTTGCTCTTCGAGAAAGCCCAATCTTCGTGGTTGGGGGTAAACCACCCCCATACACCTTTCAAGTGACCCCCTGATGGAGATGACAAAAACAGTTTAATGCATCAGTTTAAACGTTGAAGTTGAACTCTAGTCTTCTCTGTTGTATCTCTTATAAGCAGATTTACAATTTTGCGAAGCAATTCATCTGAAAACTTTATTTTGTATTTGGGAGTAAAGCATCTTTTTGTTGCTTATACAGTGGTTGCATTTTCCTACTTTGGCCAGTTCATATCTAACGATCAAAAAAACATCTGACTTTGCTTGGCTAAGTGAGCCATTAATTTCTAGAAAATTGATCAAAAAAACTTACTTTTGGTTACTTAATGTTAAAATCATACTTTTGGACGCAGGGGCGGTTCCAAAGCAAGTTTGAAGCAGGGGCTGTTGATAGTGGGGGTGCTAAAAAATTTCAGAAATTGGTGACGAGAGTACGCTGAATACAACAATCTCAGACCCTAACAACTGACAGAAGGCTCTTTTTTTCACTTTCTGAAGGAAATTTTTACAATAATATTGATATTGTGGCAAAATATTGATTTATAGTATACGGAACACTGAATGTTTCTCATCAAAATGGGTTTGTGATATATACAACATCCAGGGACGTAAATTTGCAGATATTTTTGGAGGGGTGAAGGGCTCAAAATTTCCGACTGACAAAGGTCAATTCTAATTTTGTATGAGGGCCTAAACTTTAATAGTCTTTTACCAACAAAACCTTATACATTGTCTCATGAATAATTATTCAGCTGTACGATAAAGTTTCTAGATTTCGTAAATTTGGAAGATCGAACATAAAGACTGTTAGTTTAATAAATGCATCAAAACATACGTAGTCCAAAAATCAGGTGTTAATTTTTCTCCTTCTACGACTTGCCCATTGCTCCACTATCTTATCTAAATTTACGTTGTCCAAAATATCTTTCTCGCAAGAAAGAATCATGAGGTCGTTTAGTCTTTCACAGGGGCGGCGCCAAAAAATTCAAAGTGAGGGGGGGGGGGAGCGCTCAATTTGATAGAATTATTTTTTTAAAACGCACTAAAAAGCTTCACGATATTTTATGCCTATCATTTTATGGGGCACTCATTATGCTAGCGGTACGTTTGAAGGGGCCGGCGGGAGGTTGGCGGAGGCCTTAGGGATATTCGAAAGAAGTCGCTTCCCTGCGAGCGAAGCCAGCAGAAAATGTTCACAACCACGCTTTTTAGATTAGCTTAAAACACACTTCAAAATACTTCTTGCAGGTATTTTTTTGCAATCGGTTAAAGCATTTTTTTATTTTTAAGGCATGCTCTTATTACGTTTGATGAATCACAGTCTTAAAATTGAATTCATTACTTTATGAGGCCCCATAGACCTCGGCGTATTCCTTGGAAATTAAGCAACTAAAGGATTTGTCTATGATTCTTTTCTTAATATCTTTCCTTTACTCTTTTTATTTGCTTAAAAAAGCATTCGAAAAGAGGGGGGGGAAGCCCCAAGGAGACGCTCAATTTGATAGAATTATTTTTTTAAAACGCACTAAAAAGCTTCACGATATTTTATGCCTATCATTTTATGGGGCATAATTATGCTAGCGGTACGTTATTTCGGGCCGGCGGGAGGTTGGCGGAGGCCTTAGGGATATTCGAAAGAAGTCGCTTCCCTGCGAGCGAAGCCAGCAGAAAATGTTCACAACCACGCTTTTTAGATTAGCTTAAAACACACTTCAAAATACTTCTTGCAGGTATTTTTTTGCAATCGGTTAAAGCATTTTTTTATTTTTAAGGCATGCTCTTATTACGTTTGATGAATCACAGTCTTAAAATTGAATTCATTACTTTATGAGGCCCCATAGACCTCGGCGTATTCCTTGGAAATTAAGCAACTAAAGGATTTGTCGGATGATTCTTTTCTTAATATCTTTCCTTTACTCTTTTTATTTGCTTAAAAAAGCATTTTTGCGAAAAGAGGGGGGCTGAAGCCCCAAGCTCTCCACCATGAATATTCCGACCTATGTTTCATCGGTCGATCTCGAACGGAGAAAGTTCTTGACAAGTCATGGGGAATGTACTGCGCTTCTTTAAGCATTACTTATAAATATTATTTATAAAGTTCTATTTCGTATCCCATTTTTAGAAGCAATTTGATGGAATGATTATCACATCCCCATTACGACGAATGTAGTTGAGAAATCTTGCATATTCATACAAGATTCGTTTTTTCTGGATTGCGTCGCCTCTCATTCTTTTTAAGACTGCCTTTTACCACACAACTATTTTTTTTTGAACTTATACCTTTCTTATGCTTCTCTTAGAGCTACAGTTCACAAGGTCATATGAGTCAAAACTTCAATTTTCACAAATGATTCAAATTTTCTCAGATTAACCTAGCTTTCTACCAACAGCTTTAAACTTTTCGACTGTCTTCAAATTTTTTGACCGCATGAAAGATTGGGGGAGGGGTCACACCCCCCATACCCCCAGTATTTACGTGCCTGACAACATCGATTAAGAGCCAAGGATCCCAGGCAAAACAGACAAATTTTCTATCATTACTATGCTACGTTAGTTCAATCATTGCAGCTTTATAACTCGAAATCGAAATAACTCGAAAAAGTTGATATAGGGCGTGTTATTGTGCAAACATTGTTTGATAATCAAGTTATCTTAATTTGTAGTTGTCGCGTATCCCAAGACATCGGTGCATCTAAACTTGAATCTTCAAGTTTTTGCAGTATGCGCTCATGACATTAATGCTTTATTATAAAATGAAAATCTTTTTCTTGGCAGAAGTCGGTCCTAAAATATCTCAGACCCCCGGCTTTAGTATTGGTTAATCCACCAGTGATGGCAGCCTTGTTATAGATCGATGCCCATTGTAAAAAATCTTGCTGTATTTGTCTTCAGAACGCAAACTTATGCACATTTATACAAAATGCCAAAAAGTTAAAAAAATAAAAGTTTGATTTACATCAGCAATTACTTACTTCAGTCGTCTACAATCAGAGCTTAAGTAAACAGAGGACAACGTTTTCCTGTTTCGATATTTACGTCTATCTATCCAATTGCTGTACTGCAGAATCAGTCAATCAAAACAAAAGGTGAAGGAAAAAAGGCACGGTTTCTTAAAAGAAGCACAACTGTTGAGTTTTGGTGTGCTACATGATTTTTGTCGTTGTAGAAAGACTTTTGGTTTAAAAGGTATCTGTCTGAAGATAATCCTAAAATATCTTGGGCCCGCTGCCTTAGTATTGGTTAATCCGCCAGTGATGGCAGCCATGTTATAGAACGATGCACATCGTAAACATCTTGCTGTATTTGTCTTCAGAAAGCAAACTTCTGGACATTGATACAAAATTCAAAAAAGGTTAAAAAGAATAAAAGTTTGATTTACCTCAGCAATTTCTTGCTCCAGTCTACAATCAAATCCAAAGTAAACAGAGGGCCAGAGGACAAAATTTTCCTGTTTCGATGCTTATGTCTATTTGAAGTGGTAAACTGCGGACTCAGTCAATCAAAGCAAAAGACGAAGGAGAAAAGGGCACGGTTTCTTAAAAAATACACCACTATTGAGTTTTGGTGCGCTACATGCTTTTTGTCTTTGTAGAAAAAATTTTTGGTTGAAAAGGTATCTGTTAGACATTATTAAAAACAAGACAACACAGAACAGAACTAAATTTTATTCAAAAATTCATGAAAAGTTCAATTTTTCTCATCGAAGTTAGCCTTAAGAGTCATTTTCTCGTTGTATAATCTCAATATCATTGAAAATTGCTTGTTACAAATTTACTTATTGCATTTCTTTAATTGCATTTCTTTAATCTCTCGTTCAGTGCTTTCTTTCACTACCGAGAATTCGAAATAGCCTTTTGCTATGATAGCAAATGACCTATGTAATGTCACGAAGACACGCATTCTGTCTTCCGGCGAATAGTGTATGTAACAAAATCATTGTTTGCTATTTGAATCAAATTTACAAGCTTGACTTGACTCTTTAGACTAAGAGGAACGTGAAAGTAAGTTGTAGGGGATTTGTTTACGTAGGTCGAGGTTTGAAGAGCTGTCGTCTTGAGCTGAAAAGAAAGTTTGATCAAAACCACTATCAAAATCAAAATCAAAATCTGGTGAGTAGATTTAGACAATTTGGGTAATTTTTAAGCGTTTGTTATACGGTTTTCATTGATATTGATATAAGACGAAAACGGGCTGAAAGCGTGTTCTTACCACGGTTGGCAGCTGCAGTTAATTGCAAAGGGTGGTTGAGATTTCTTAAATAATGGGAATAACACTTTTTAGAACAGATTGGTTCAATAAAGAGAAGTAAGGTACAGAAATAGTATTTTCCATGGTGAAATTTTGATCAGTAGTTAATCTTCAACCATCAATCTTCAATCGTTTATTCTTAAAGACTTTGCAACTAATCTGGAGCATTAAGTCAAGACAATTAAAAAAAAAGAAAATAAACTAAGAGGTAGGATTAATACCGTTTCAACCCAGCGCTCCAGTTTGCTGATTTCTACAAAATGTTGCATTTGGTTTTGGTTCAACAAATCCAAGCAAAGTGTATAGGTAAGCAGGTTTGGCTATTGCTAGAGTGGAAGCGGTGTTAATCATAAACAAGGGATAACAAAAGGCTAACAAAAAAAGTAAAATTTTTTCTAATAAGTCTATACTATGGTCCAGGTGTTGGTGGAGGCCACCTTCACCCACTGACGTGGATGCAACCATTCTGTCACTGATACTTGAATTTGTCTTCTCTCACGCAATTCATAATTTTTTGAAGGTAGGCTATTCCAAATCCAAACTGTTCTTACGAAGAATTGATTTTTGAAGCTTCGGAGTGGATTCATTGAATTGTTTGATATTTGAGCGGATTTCTTGTTGAGGAAAGGACAATTTCTGGAAACGAGATGTTGAGCATGTTGTTTCGAATTTTAATGAAGATTTGAAGGTCATGGATGCAGTGTTGGTGTTGTAGTGGTAGCCAGTTTAATGATTTCATTTCCTGTGTCAACTGAGCGTCTGTACCATAAACGTGACAATTTACTGTGACCCTTGCAGGTCGTCTCTGGACAGCTTCAAAGTTTTTTTGTATGAGGACTCAAACATGCTGATGCATAGTTTAGATGGGGACGGACAATTGCATCGGATGCTGTAACTTTAACACCTGGAGGACACATGTACAAGTTTCGGCGACATAGGTTTAAGATTTTGTGCCTTTGTTTGAGATGTAATTTACGTGCTCATTAAAATTTAGTCTATTATCTATAATCATTCGAAGGTAACTTTCCGACATAGTCTCCTCCAAGCCGTACAAATTTAATTTAGATATATTTCCATCATCAAATGTAGATTTAGCTGACTCAACAACTTTGTCAGAAGAATCGTTTTCCTCTGAGGCTGATGACTGAAACATTTTGTACTCGAAGTTGATCTTTTTAGTTTTTTTGTGGCTTATACGGAGCATTTTGCACTTTTTTACGTTAAAAGCCATCTGCCTGGTGATGGCCCATTGTTGTAATTTGAAAAGGTCTTTTTGTAGGAGGTGCGCATCTTCTTTTGATTTGATTGACTCATATATAGTGCAATCATCAGCAAAAAGACGTATTGTGTTATGGAGGGCTTTCCCAATATCGTTGATATACATCGAGAACAACAGAGGGCCCAGTACAGAACCCTGAGGCACTCCAGAAGATACTTTGCCAAAGTTGTACCTTTTACAAAAACTTCCTGAGTTCGGCTGGTTAGGAATCCGCCTATCAATTTGGAAGTCAAATCTGAGATGCCATACATTTAAATTTGGTATAAAAGGCGGTGATGTGGGACAACATCAAATGCTTTGCTGAAATCAAGCAGGAGAACATCCACTTGGCCACTGCCCTGATATAATGTAGATGTCCAATCATTCATAGCCTCAAGTAGTTGTGTTTCCCATGATATCCCTGACCGATAACCATGCTGTTTATTTGTAATAATGTTATATTTATTAACATGAGACCAGATTTTGGGTACAATGCAGTGTTCGATGAGTTTACAAGGGATGGCTGTTAAGTATATCGGTCTGTAGTTGGCTGGAAGGCATTTTGATGCTTTTTTGTCTGTGTACAAACAACTGCATGCTTCCATGCAGAAGGAAGATTTCTCTTATTGTAGGATTGGGTAAATAGATGGTGATTTAATCTTCTTGTCTCAGTTGCTGTCTCTTTAAAGTATCTAGCAGGAAGTTTGTCTTGATTAAAAGCTTTTTCTGGATTGATGCACGAAAATAATTGTATTACTCCTTCAAGACCAAATATGATGTTTTCCATACTGGGGTATTATGGTGACTGTTGGGGTATATATGTTTTCATTGGTGAAAATAGACATAAACTGCTCGTTCAAGGCGTTTGCTTTTTGGAGATCTGTTGATGCTGGGGTCTTGAAAGTAGTTGATAGCGTTGGAATGCCTCTGTTTTCTTTTCTCAAGCTTTTTATGTATGACCGGAATCTTTTAGGGTTGTCTTTCAGGCTTGCACCAACTACATCTTTGATGTAAACGCTAAAGCAGCTAGCCTGGTTTTCAAATACTCTCAACAAGGAAGTTAGTAGTTTTTCCATTTTCAAATTAACTTTAAAGGCATTGAGTCATAGTAAATAGGAAGTGTATACCCAAATTGCAAAAATTACTGAGTCATTATGATAGCTTCGCTTATCTGATTGGCTGTCAAGCAAACTGCACACGTGATGTTGTAAGTGCTCTTTGTTCCGCCGTTTCTAAAGGTTCTTTCTTTTTCTCTCTTGCTCTCTACAAAAGATTTCGAAACTTCTTCCCCCATTTGTACCTTTCAAATGCCACAAAGGCTTTTCAAATGCCTTTCGCTTTCGACAAAGAATGTCTGATCACATGAAAACAAACTTATTACATGGAAACAGACAAACCCCCCGCGGAGAACCAGTATGCTTCTTTTCCGTTTTCTCGAAATTTGCTCGAGTTGGCCAAGGAAAGCACCTATAAATCAATAAATGATTTGATAGCACAGCAGAGCTTGTTTGGTTCCGCTGGGGTTACTCCCATTATGACCTAAGAGGGGGGTCCAGTCAGGGTCAAGGAGGGCCAAAGCTGAAATGTTAAAAAATTACCCTCAAATGGTAGTGTTTTTTTACAACTGGTACTTCTTTGACAAATTTCTTCGCCATTGATTGTTGTTGATTCGGGAAAAATTAAATATTGTTCTTTGTCTATAATAAATCGCAAGCTAAACTAAGCCGTTATGTTATTGTCGAGACTGGGCCATTTGGTAGCCATTAGGTAAGACATTCAAACTGACTGGACGCTCCTGTCAGGTCTTCATTGGAGTGTTTAGTTGAGAGACCCCTCTTTGGGTGTTTAGTTGAGAAACGGACCAAAAGAGGAAAGGAAAGTCAAGGGTTTTCTGTTAGACAATCTTAGACTCCTAAATTAGACCCCTTTTCTATATTCCAGACAACATTGCGCCTTTTTGTGATAGTCTTCGTTGTTCACATAACACACTACAACGGGGAAAAATGTTTTTCGCCAATTGCCAATTTTTTGGGCTGATAGCTCTTTATACTGAAGCAAAAAGAAATGGAACCAAATTTGACCCCGTTTCCACTTAAAGGGCCACTCCGGTCTGACAATTTTTATTTCTGAACACGATGTAAGCAGACCTCCTGAAAAGAATCTGTTATTATTTTCTTATATATCTCTTACCGTCTTGAAGTCTTAAACGTCTATAAATTTTTAATTAAGTTGAATTGTTTTTCAACCGTGTTATTGGTGCGCTTCTGATTAACTTCTCAAACAATGTCGGCCTCGTATTTTTGCTGCAAATATCATCGGCTGTCCACGAAAACCTAGCAAAATGGCAAACAGGGCCTAGAAGCGGCATGCCTGTTAGAAGGCCAGACTTTTGTCTGGAATCGATATAAAGAGAGAAGTATCGCTCATCAGTCTTGATATTCTGATCGAATATGAAGTATCTTATCTCACAAATCTGTCTGACAGATCAGTAAAATTTTCAAAGTAGCATATGTTCCAACCCTCCCGATATGACCGGGAGACTCCCGATTTCAGAGCAGTGGCATAGCGTCCGGGTATTCAAGGTATTCAGTGAATACCCTGAGATTTCTCAGAAAAAATATTGATACGACGTATATTTGTAATAACTAAAAAATGTTTTGGGGCAATTGATTCTGGTTGAATTCATTACCTTCGATATTCTACATTTTGTACAAGTACAAAATATCACGAAATTCATGGAAACAACACTGCGACGCATAGAGAGGCTGGGAGATCTTTGAAGATTGAGCTACTTCATGTTGAATAGAGATCGGTCATGAATACGCAGTGAATACCCTAGACGGTACTTTAACCAATCAAAATGCTCCTTTCCATGAATAATATTTGCCGTTAATCAGCTAAAACAACGGTCCTGTACGCTGAGAAATATGCAGCGTACAGCCTCAAAGTTGGTTCAAAATAGTCTCGTTTTGAGATCGATATAAACAGATAATGGACGTCGGAGCGGTTGGAGTGATGGCGCTGCATCGAAAACAGTAAACATGACTTAATTAAAAAACCATTGCAATGTCCGCATTACTGCTTCATAATCATTCTCTCATTTGACCCCTAATCTTAATCTACCAACAGCAAAGTGGAAAGGTAAGGTAGGCTTCTACATAATACTACACTGACTCAGATCTGTGCCCTCTTGAAATGTCAATTTTGTTATTGCTTGTCAATCAGGGATGCTTCTAATTGTGTTATGAGACGGAATTAAAGTAAATGCAGATAGGCCTGGATAATATCCTTATAGTTGCCTGGTGTATTCAGTTATCTTGTTGGCCTATTTTGTTTGCATTATTCCAGCACATTTATTTGCATTATCGTGCAGTCTCATCTCATTACCTTCGATTCTTTCAAACATTAACTTGTATTGAAAATATCACGATTAGGCCATGAAGAAAAAGTCTAGACTGCATACCACAAGCTATTTATAACTCGTGTAATGCCCTATGTGAATAATTTTGAAACTTTCGAAAGCCCTTTTGTATTAAGGTATCAAGATTAGGTGTTTACAGTTACTTCCTCTTTACATCAGTGCAAATGTTAGAGAATTCAACAACAACTATTGGGATATATTTCGACCAGCAAAATTTTACTGATTTTCAATGATACGTTTTGATTTGAATTACTTTTGATGAAATGGAATTTTGATGCAATGAATGAGTTCGAAGAGTATATTTGCGTTGGGTCCTTTTAGCAAAGTATCGTTTTCATCATAGTAATGCCCTGACAGTGCAGTACTTGCCAACCGAACCAAAAAGAAAAGTGTTAAAGTAATAGATTAAATGTCAAAAGCTAGTCCTTTTAATCGTCCTATTATCCCTCTATTTTCATCAAGCCCCATTGAGCCACACCCTGCCCCACCCTTTTGTTTAATAGAGAATACCCAGTTGAAAAAGTCACGCTACGCCACTGTTTCAGAGGTCATCTCCCGAACTCCCGACAATTAAAAAATCCTCCCGATTTTTGAAAAAAACTTAATAAAAATAAAAAGCTGGTATAAAATAAAGAAGAATCAAGATCACTGTCAACAGTGCAACCTTTTCATAACGGACGAAACGATTCGATGTATTCACAACATTACAATAGTTACGACATCGGATAAAGCCAGACGCCAAACTGTGGAATTGATTGCAAGAAAACATTTCCTATAAAAATATAATTATGATTGTGCACAGTGGCGTTTTTATTCCCAGAACGTTTTCGGCCTCTTCATTTGCCCCCCCCCCCTCTCACTTTCTAAGAAAGTTCTTCGATATTACTGACCTATTGATTACGAAGAACTGTTTTTCTATTAACATATTACAGACAGAGAAATTAAAGAATCCTGAGCCATTTTGAGGCCTCAGAAATGACAAAATGTCAGGAGCTTCCAGGGGCTTCGCCCCCTCAACCCCTACCGTTGTGCTGCCCTGGGCCCGCTGGAGGGCACTCCCCAGACCCCCAGCTCCAATTTTCCGCTCGCGATGTCTCCCGCTTTTCCTTCTCTACAGGTTTGAAGGTATGAGTAGGGCACCGAGAACAGAGACATGATGTTATGTTGACAAACTGCAATGGAACTTTGCTTTTGATGCAGTCAGTATTGGCAGGCCAGCTTCCTGATTTTTTTTACAAATGGTATCGAGGCTGAGATGG